TGTCATAATAATGAAAATTATGTCTATTTACTGACCATTATTATAATAAGTCGATTCGTCTGTATATAATACATTTAAAAAAAAATCAGGATCTTCTCCAACTTTATTTAAAGTCCATAAACAAAAATTGAAACGGCTACCATAATCTTGTTCTGTCAAATGCTGGTGAAGTTGAATGTGATACAGATGAAAGTGGCATACACTAGTTTGACTAATTTCTAATTCACCCGAAATATTTCTTGTACTAATATTTGGGTTTTCCGTAATAGAAAACAGGACATTAAGTTCGTTAACGTTGTCACCAATAACTGGTTTATTTTTATTTACCTTTTCGTATGCAACATAAACTTCCTTTTGTGGGTGTCTTCTATCAGGATACTTTTGAGCATAAACTTTAGAAGCTAAGAGACAATTTTCCAAACATTCTCCAATGCAAAGTACCATGTCGACTCTTTTATGGATAGCGTAATTCTTTATTTTTGGGAGCAATGAAAGTTAAATATTACACTCGAATTTTTTTATTTTGACAATTATCAGACAGTAATGTCAGAAAATGAAAATGTCATACAATGACATTAACTAACTATATCTTTTGTTTTAAAATCAATATACCGATCAAGAGTTTAAATAATTGTAAATTACGCAAAACCTACGAGACTTAAGTATAGGATATCTTTCCATAGATAGAAACCTATCTATAGGTTTTCTCTAAAAGAAGAAACTTTTTTTAGTATTACGATTAATTAATATCCATCGTGTTCCATTTAAAGTAAGCCTCATATTAGATATTGAATAATCCTAAATTGAAACTAAGTTTTGAACACCCTGTAAATAAATGTTTAATAATCAATAAGGGAATAAATTTAACCATTACCAAACTATTTCGATACAAGGGAAAATTTGTTATAATTGCTTAAATAAGTCGAGAATGGGTGTTCTTTAAAAAATTTTTTTGCTTATAATGTAGAAAGTTGTGGTTTATTTTGTATTATTTATGTTCATTTTGTATTATTTGTTTTATTAAAATTCTTTCTGATTCAGCATTTGTGTATCAGCAAGTTAAAGTATAAAGTATTTGTTTACAACTACATTGTATGTCAAAAAGATGTGTTTAAAAATCGAGAGTAACAACTATAAATATTTTGAAATCGAAAAGAAAATTACGCAAAATCTGAGCAAATTTTGAACATCCTGTAGATAAATGTTTAAAAATTAATCATGAATACATTCAACCGATATCCAACTATTTAGAGGTATAACCAATTTTATTAGAATTTCTTAAATAAGTTAGGAATGAGTCTTCGTTTAAAGATTTACATTTTAAGAATATTCCACATAACTCAGAACACTCTGTACATAGGTATAGGGAAGTCTTATGAAACTAGACTTTATTTTTAACCGACAAGTAGAAAATGCAATAAAATATATGGTGTCCCATAAGAAAAAATATAACTTTGATACGCCGCACTTTATTGGGCCGCCTTGTATATTTCAAAATAATTTTAAAATATAGCCGTTATCAACTTTCAAACTATAAATTTCAATTTTATTTAAAATCCTTTACCGTTTCGCTGTAATCTTCCGTCTCGTTTGTGGTGACTCACCTTATATATATATATACATATATATATATATATTATATATATATATATATATATATATATATATATATTTATATATATATATATATATATATATATGTATATATATATATATATATATATATATATACATATATATATATATATATATATATATATATATAATATATATATATATATATATATATATATACAGATTGAACGAGTTACATTCGAAACATATGAAATATATGTGTTTCGGCTCAACTCGGGTCTAGATGGCTGACCAACAAAAGGTTGTCAAATAATTATATTAAAAAAATCCAATACTTCAGCGGGCTGTTGGATTCTGAACTAATTCAAGAACTCATTCATAGGTGGTCAAACCACCTATCGCTTCCTAAAGCCGGCCACTCACGGTACAGCGGTGTCGTTCGACATAATCGGTCAGAGACGTTATTCAATTTGTTGGTATATCTGATGCGCCCACACACCATACTGCGCCGCAGTATTTGTTCGGTTCTCGACCATGTCAAATCAAACAATGATTTTAGCGTCTCTTACTTCGTGTATAACTAAGCGTAAAAAGAAACCTAAAATAAAACGTAGATTCTGGTGCAAAGAATCCAAGATTTTGGTGAAAAATAAATCTCGTCTGCTCCTGCACCCGATTTACTGGACTGCAATGCTAATTTTAATTTTTTTTTATAGGATGTTCTAAAATTGTTAATTTTTTTTCTTACATACTCTTCATTCGCATCTTTGTTTACTTCTTGGAACTTTAAAACTAGAATGTCCATTGCCTGTTTTCGGGCGTTTCTATCGTGATACGTTTTAACTTTTATTCGCTATAAGCATTCTTGTATTTTATATAATTCAAATCACTCTCTTAAAAAAATCTCGCTAAATCAAGCCATTTCGATTTTCTATAATATGATCAAAGCAAGTGTGTAGTTAAAAACGAAGTTGAACAACGCCGCTGTATCATGCTTTAGGTAAACCCTCTTTCGTTTATCGGAGATGGAGATTTTGAGCGGTGTTGCCAATATCATTCCTCTAGATGTTTTTAAAATAACTACAAACCATTAAGTTTATTTTTGTTATTAGTCTGTTGTAGTAGATTTGTAAATGAAAAATATAGGCAAATATCCGATTTATTTAAAGATTCGAAGAAGATATAACTCTCAAAAAGATCCGCAAATCGGATTATTACACGGCGATTGGCAACATTGACTTTGGGCTGCGCTCTAGACTATGGTGCGTTATAAAAGGAGACGGATAGTTGAACGATATTTTATACAATGTCTATTACCGGGTATGGATTTATTTTTGTCCAAGTTTTATATTGGTCCACTATTTCAAATGCAGTTCAAACAGACATTATACGGATATCTTGGGTTTAGTAGTCAATATTGGCCTTTAAGTAAAACTCTTTTAGGTTTGTTAAGCTTTCGAGTTTATTGTACTCTTTTTCAAAATGTACTAAAAATTAACATAAAAACTACATTAGAACAATGAAGTTGTTATATCTTCAATAGGCTTATCCTTGTGAGGATTGTGTTTTAAAATTAGCAAAATTAATTAACATAATGACATTAATAAATTTGATTTTCTTTTTCTTTCTCTCAAAACTTATTACTAAGGTTTCCATGTCTCTTCTATTTTTTTATATTAATTTTAGGTTAGTTTGACAGAGGAAGTGTCTATGTTTATGCAAACCTTCATTGCGAATTTTGATATAATATGTAGAAATGTTTCGTTTTTAGTTATTAAACAAGCAACAGAGTTTATGTTACTAAGTAATTAATAAAAAAAAACACCAAACACAAATAATTTTATCTCATTTGAACTTGGAATAATCCCTTTAATATGCGTAACTTTTAAGAACTTTTATGTTGTTATTCTTTTATTTAAAAGAAAATTACTGTATATAGCACTAAGATTTTCAATGTCTTCTCTTTTGTTTAAGGTGTTTTGTATATAATACGCCTGTTTATATATAATACGCCTAACTATGATCAAACAGAAATATTAATAAGGGAAAGAAATAACAACAAAAACTGTTTCTAGAAATGTGTTTAACTAAAACTACACAAAACACCTTAAACAAAAGAGAAGACATTGAAGTACAATTAAACCTAGAGCTAAGATTAATACTATTATAAAAATTAATATTAAACTCACCAGTCCTCCGGCTTGAACCGCGTCGATATCCATTAGGCCGAGCTTTCGACATTCTCTCTGATGTCTTCTTCAGGGCTTCTGGGGTGTCAATCTCCCGAGTCCCCAGACACTACTACACTTATCACTAGTCACTTTACTACTGTACTGTACTTACAGTAGCAGGGGAGATTGAGACCCCGGAAGCCCTAAAGAAGATATCAGAGAGGATGTCGAAAGCTCGGCCCAATGGGAATCGACGCGGTTCATCCGGAAGACTGGTGAGTATAATATTAATTTTTATAATGTAATTGTATTTGTAAATGTAACTGAGCGCCAACTATTTTAAGAATAAAAATAATAAATTGAAAGAGATAAGTTAATAAATGAATAAAACCAAATGAAATTAAAATAAAATAATTATTTAAAGAAAAATATCAAGCATGCGACGTTTATAACGCTACACTTGATATAGGGCGATAATTATATTTATTCCCAGTTTTATTGTAGGTTTCACATAGTTCAGTTTCCAATAATTTGGGAATTCCCCTGATGATAAATATTCTTGCTATCACAATGTTTTACTAAGATGGGAGGAATAGCGTCAGGACCTGGACGTTTTTAGGATTTTAAATTGGTTAAATATGCAGAAACTTTGGAAATTGATATATTAGATTAAGAAAGATATATTTGATTATTACTGAAGCATTGAGGTAGAGTTTATAGTATTACTGTTTTGGTTCACTGAGAAAGTTGCTTAACAGACCGACTAGTAGTTTCAGACAAATAATGAGATAAAAAATTATCAAAGAATACTTGACTTAACAAAGAATTCTGATCCTTTCAACTTAGTATTGACATTGGCAAATCTACAAAAGGACCTACTAGCAGCCCAAGTAGGTGATTGAGCATCATTGGCACTGAGATCTCAAACTCAAAAATTTAGTACAACTTTTACAACTATTACAATATATTCTATAATAGTATTTTTTCTTCAGAGTGGTTAGTTTAAATACTGTTTCAACTTATTAGTGAGGAATGGTGATAAACGAATAAAATATGAATTAGTATGGACATATATTTACTTATTATGGATATGGATATGGATATGGATTACATATATTATCCACAAATACATATTCACTCAAAAAAAAATCAACTGTTAAAGTAGCTAAAATTATATAACTTTTCACTGAAGCTTCACCATAATTATTATGATTGTTTACATAGTGTATTCTTTAATAATCGTAAATGTTTTAGTTCCAGCCAAAAAAATGTCTACCGACTCAACGCCAATCAGCACACCAGACAG